TGGTTCAGTTTATGGTTCAAGATTGATCCTTGAAAATATGATTTTCTAAATAGGGAATACGATTCCTAATTGAAGGGAGAGAGAAATTTTTTGAAATTCGCCCCTTATTCCGCAATCTTTGGGCGTCCATAGGATGGATCTCTCATCCCTTCATAGGGGGAGTATTTTGAAATCATGGAGAAGTTGTGGCTTTGTTCTCAAGACCAATTGGGTATGGAGACTTGATTTAGGCTAAGAAAATGGCACTCTTACCAGGCTTGAAATTAGCAGAACAATTAGAAGCTAGAGAATTGGAAGTGGAAGGGGACTCACTCTTGGTCATTTCTTGGGCTAAGCAAGTAAATTCAGCACCATGGAAATACAGATTTTCTTTCACGGAGATTGACATTCTTCCTAAGAGTTTTAACTCTACATTTGGGTGGGCTACAAGAACAGCAAATGGATTGACAAATACCCTGGCAAAACAGGGAGTCGATAGACCTACTCTTTTTTGGGCAAAACTGTAGGCAGCTGCATTACAACCAAGGTTCAAAATATCATCACATATCAGCCTGTATCGGCTGATACGTATCGTATCGTGGCCTTCCCGATACACCCCTATAGGGGGTGTTTCAGGTCAGACCATGGTTCAGAGGGTAGCCGGGCCTTAAACCAACCCCTCTGAACCAGTTTTGAAAAAAAAACAAAACAAAAAAAAGGCACCGGTACAGGCCGATAGGCCTTACCGGTGTATCGGCCTGTATCAATACTTTGAACCTTGATTACAACAGAGGGATTTTTTTTTATCAGAAACAGATAAAAGATTTCATTAATTAGAAGAAAAATAGATACAACAAAAAGTTGTGAAATCCAGCTTTAAAAAGCTGACCCAACCCAAATTACAATTGTGCCCAAAACAGCTGTGTTCTTTGAACCCCTTGCTTAGCTAAACTATCCGCCAAACTATTGGCAGTTCTCTTCACCCATCTCACTCGAACTGACATATCCTTTGAGAGCCATTTAAATTTTCAACAGAGGGATATTGATCCATGTAATCTGGGACATTTTGTATATTGTTATACTCTGGAGTGTAGAGCAGCTAAAAAATCTGTAACCTGATATTCATTTTCATAAACAAATAAATTCTTCGCTGATAAAAAAAAAAAAGATTCTAGTTGACTTGTGGTGTGGAGATAGGTCCTTGGTTGAAATCTACCCTAGCTTCTTTAATGCAGCCACAAACAAAGAGGCAACAATTGCTGAGACATTCCCTAATGAAGGAGCTATTGGTCATTAGTCCCCTGTCTTCAGAAGAAACTTGTCTGAATGGGAGATTGAAAATTTAGAAAATATGCTCCTCCATCTTCAGCAACTTCAGCCTATCAACACAGAAGAGGGAAGTAGAATTTGGAAATGGGACAGGAGGAGAATTATCTCAGTCAAATCCATGATGCAGCACCTCAGTTTGAATGGGCCAACTTTCCCACACAAAGTTGTTTGGGCACGGAAAGTGCCATCAGAAGTTGCTTTCCTAGTCTGGAATGCAGCCCGTGGCAAATGCCTCACAAAAGATAAGCTAAGGGAGGTATTCCCATAAACTCCCCCAACTGTCCTCTTTGCAATGCTTCTCAAGAGACTCCAGACCACCCTTTTCTGCATTGCCCTCTCAGTAGAATCATTTGGAACCATTTGTTGGCTAATCTGCATTTATGCTGGATCTTTCCCAACACAGTCTTGAACTTCCTAGATGGTTGGAGAGTTGAAGACCTCTTTGTTAACGGCAGAATTATTTGGAATATGATTCCTGCAGCTGCATTTTGGACAATTTGGATGGAGAGGAACAGCAGAATTTTTTAAGGCAAATCTTCTGATACTGACAAAATTATACACAACATGTTAGCAAAAATTTTCTCCTAGGAAAAGCCACAATATTACTACAGATGCCTTCTTTTTGTAATTATCTTCCTTAAAGTTCTCTTGGGGAAGTCTCACCCCATGTACAGCCATCCATTTACAAATCTGATACAATATACTTTACCTTCCCTCAAAAAGGGGTTTTCTACCTTCTTTTGTTTTTTTTTAAATACAATTACTCCCATCTGTCTTTCTAACCGTAACCAGAATAAAGGCTCAGCCCTTTTGCCTTTTTCTATCAATAAAATATTTCATTAATAATTTATAAAATTTGGTACAGATTGGAACATTCATTAAACCATTCCCCCTTCTCAGATTACATCATATCATAATTTTTCCCAAAATAGAAGAGGTTTGTCAACTCTTTGTTTTGCAAGCACATCTGCCATCCCACTAGCAGTCCTCCTTACCCATCTGAAAGCCGTGTTGAATCTTTTTACTAGAACATCAATTTCCCTAAAAGCTTGTCTGTATTTCCAAGGGGCTGAATTGATTTTCTTTGTCCAAGAAATGACTAATTGTGTCTCCTTCAATTTCCAGTTCCCTGATTTCAAGTTGTGCAGCAAGCCTCGTTCCTTGTAGCATATCCCTTATTTCAGCTTGAATTTAATTTCCAAAGTCAATTGGACCCGAATACAAGGCCACTACCTCTCCTTGGTTATTTCTGAATACACCCCATATGCCTGCTCTTCCTGGGTTGCCCATCGAGCTGCCATCAAAGTTCAATTACATACTATTCCCAGCTGGAGGTCTCCTATCCATCTGCACTTTTTCTACAAATCTATGTGATTGCACTACAGCAGTCCAATCCCTTAAAGTGTCATTGGTTGAGAACTCATTGAAAAGGTCCATGGTCTTTACCCAGTGTGCTGTCCTAACTGTTATGACTTCAATCGGTTCCTCCTCAGATTTACTCTTCTCACTGAAGACTATTTGATTTCCTTCTTCCCAAATGGTCCTCCACATAATCCTTCCTCTCTTCTTCTGTTGCCTCAAGGAACTAGAGTTGAATAACTTTACCACAGCAGTCCAAGCCCTTTTGCCTTTTCTCTGCAATTAGCCACACATGCACAACCTCTACTCTTCTGTAATCTATCACAACACATTCAAAATAACAATAGCCTCATCCCCTAATATGTTTCCTTTCACCTATTCTTCCTTTTAAGCTATGTTTAGTTTGAAGGAAAAAGTAGGGAAGGGAAGGGAAAGGCAGGGAAACCTTTACAAACTTTGTATAGGTTTTCATACCTTTCCCTACCTTTTCCTTCAAACCAAACATAGCCTTAATGTTTGATTTTGATCATGTTAGGTCACTTTTAATGCTTTCTATTTGCAACACCAACTAGAGAAAATAGTTAATTCACAAAAGAAAAGGGGAACAAGTGACAATCATCTAGAAGTTATATATAAATAAATTCCCTAGGCTACAAGGTGCTAAGTTGTCCCCCAGCCTCAACTTAGAGACTTGGCAACCACGCTTGTGAATTGGTTTGCACTCTCTTACATTGGTATTTTGATATTTAATGCAAATGTTATATTATCTAAAACTATATGTATTGAAAATCAATAAAAAATCAAATATCTCCATCAAAAAAGTAAATACCTACCATATAAGGAGTCTTGGTAACAAACAGAAAGACAAGCAAACAACACCAATTCAAGCTAAAAATATATTCTATAAGGCTGCATTTGGCATTCCTTATTTTAAGGATTTGTCTCCTTTTTTGCTGTCAAAATGCCCCTATGAACACTGATTTTAATTGCAAAAATGAGATAAGTCCTTAAAATAAGGAATGCCAAATGCAGCCTTAAGCCCCTTTCGCTAACAAGCCTCCAATTCAGGAAACACACACACACACGAAAAACATTTGAAATTTTGCAGAAGCAAAGAACCATAACGGATTAGAGAAACAGTGAAAACTCAGAAGCATTGCTATTCTCAATTCTAAACTAAATAATTAACTTCTAGAAAGATATACAGAAAGAGAAAATTACCATGATCAACGCCCAGGCGTCAAAGAAGGATTGAGCCCAAGTAACATGTTGTTTCCACCAGGAAGATACGCCACATTGGGTGACTTCGCCAAAGTAGAAGCAATTTCCCTTGACGCCTCAATCCTTCTCAACTCGATCAAGCCCATCCCAGCAGCTGCAGTCGCATCTGAAATCAGCTTAGCCGACTCACTTTCTCCTTCAGCCCTAATAATRGCTGCYCTCCTCTCCTGCTCCGCYTTCATCACAATAAACTTGGACCTCTCCGCTTCCTGTTGTGCCACCTGCTTCTGCTCAACAGCCTTAGAGAACTCATGACCATAGGACAAGTGAGTAATAGCAACATCATCAAGAACAAGGTTGAAGTCCCTGGCGCGACGAATCAAGCTCTCGCGGACGAGGGCAGAGACGTGGGGACGTTCAGTGAGGAGCTGATCGGCGTTAAACTGGGCGACGACCGCTTTGAGGACTTCGTTGCCGATGGAGGGAAGGACCTTTTCGTCGTACTCGAGACCGAGGGTTTTGAAGATAGTGGGGAGGCGAGGGACTTCAGGACGGGAGAGGACTCGGAGTGTGAGGTTGACCATTTGAAGGTCCTTTGTGCCGGAGACGGAGGAAAAGGTGTGGGGGCGAGTTCGGATGTCAAAGATGTAGGGAGTCTGGAGCCAGGGGATTAAGAAGTGGGTACCTTCTCCAATTGTATCGTCGAGAACTCCCCGGAAACGATCGAAGAGTACGGCTCGTTGGCCACCGTCGACATTGTAGAGGGAAGAATTGAGGATGGTTGCACCCACACCGAAGCCAAAGGCTGCTCGAGCGAGGTTTGTGAGGAAGGACAAGGCTGCTTGGCTGCTTCCCATCTTCAGAAATCACAGAGCGAGTTTCAGGGAGAGAGAGAGAGAGAGAGAGAGAGGATGGTGGCAAACAAAACCCTAGTTCCCTAAACGGCTAAACCCTCTAGGCTCCGTTTGGTTTGATTCATAAAAGGATGTGGTAGGAGGGAAGTGTAAAGCTGTTTGATTGGAACCTTACAGTGATCGACTGAAATATTGCAACGGATTTATCATGTGCACATGAAAACATATTGGTTATTTAGATTGGAACTATTTATTTTCAGTAATTGGCTTGATGAGTAGATGGATGTATGTGGTAATTTTGGGCTGGGTAAGTTATATGTTAAATTTGAAGAATTGGATATGTTCTCTTCGCACCGACTTTACAGTCACATCTTATTAAGTTTATTATTGATGGGTATCTGTACAATGTATGAGATTTGTAAAGAAAAATTAAATAATAAAACACATCACAGTATATAATTGTTTTATATTTTTTATTTTTTAAATAATTATTAATTATTTATATTTTATAATACTTTTAATAATTTTTTTATTATACAAAAATAATAATAATTTATTTTAGCTAAGCTTATTCATCGAATTAATAAATCCAACCAATCCGATCAATTCGAGCCAAATTACTCAGCTTATAATATTTTGGGTTGAAATTGGATCAATTTTGTTGTAGCCATTTGTAAATTGACCAAAATAAAATGACCCATCCATCCACACACACTTAATATTTTTATATTTTAAATATAATTTTTAGGGTAAATTATAAAGACCCCCCTATACTATGGGGTCAGTGACAAAGACCCCACTGTACTTGTCTTGCAACAAAGACCCCCCCATGTACTATGTCTGTAAGACAAAGACCCCCTTCCATTAATCTTTCGTTGAAGTCCACCGTTGCAATATTTTTTAATCCCCATACTACCCTCGTAATAACTATTTGAACAATTAAAAGAAAAACACTATTCATCTTCCCTGAATAACAGCAGCTGTAGCTGTTGCAGCGGCAACGGACTTTAGTTGAAGTCCTCTCTCTTTCTTTCCCCAGATCTCTCTTTTTCTTCTTCCCCTTTCTTCTTTGCAATTTCCTCTGTTATCCGTTCTTTGCAGATGGAGAGAAATCAGACTGGGCACACCAAAACAAGATTTCTGGGTGAACATTGACACCCGATGTAGCTTGAGTTGGGTCCGATGCCCACCCTGTACTAACTACTCCAAAATTACAGTTCAATAGCTGCAATAGCTACTGCAATTCTTGCTTCAGCTTCTAGGTTGAACTAGCCACTTCATCCCCATCGCACTTCTTCCCTGTTGTGGTGAACATCCACCCACAACGTTCATCCAAAGAACATCCACCCACAATGTTCATTCCTGCTTCCCTGTTGTGGGACATGGCATCATGGTTTTTAAAAACGAACCGGTCAGGGGTCTAGTTACCGATTCAAACAGTTAACCGACCGGTTCAGCGGTTTGTTGATCAAAATCAACGGTTTTGGGGGAAAACAAAACCGGTCAGGTGATAGGTTCCCAGTTTTTCTAATCCAACCGTCCGATCCGGTCTGATTTTGAAAACAATGCATGGCATATTCTCAGAGATACTGATCCATCCAACTCCTGCTTTAAAGCGAAATTCAAGTTCTCCAGAGAACAATGAAAATTGAGCATCGTCCAAACTAGGCAGTAGTTCATTCAACTTGAAGTCTACGTCCAATCATGCGTTTGATGGAGCTTGAGCATCGTCCAAACTAGGCAGTAGTTCATTCAACTTGAAGTCTACTTCCAATCATGCGTTTGATGGAGCTGCAGTTTCAATAGAGCTTGATCATAGCAATTATTCGGGATTGGAAGATTTTCCAGTGAGGAGTCATGGTTTCTGGGATGGGAGCAGAATACAGACTAGGCTTTCATCGCAACCAGATTCTGCTATGCTATTGGCAAAATATCCAGTAGCATTCGGTGATTATTCAGCACCATCCTATAGGGTAGGGAAGCAACTAGTGCCAATTGCCAAGAGGAATGACCTGAACATGGGTTGTCAATATTTCCAACGAAGGATTTAGATGGTATTAGGGGTTTGGCAGATTATCAGACAAACAAAAGTTATGATGGAATGAAGTTACAGCCATATACGACAGTGGATGTGAAGGGACATGGCATATTCTCGGAGCCGGAGAAGAGGAATGGATTTGAAGTGACTAGTTTTCAACAACAGGGTGCGGTGGGGATGAACGTTGTGGGTGGAGGACTTCAACGGAAGTCCGCCGCTGCTGCAATAGCTACCGCCGCTGTTCGTGTATCGTGAGGTTGGTGTGGGTGGAAGACTTCAATGAAAGTTTGTCGCCGCTGCAATAGCTATCGTTGCTATTCGTGTATCATGAGGTTGGGGAAGATGAACAGTGTTTTTTTTCCAATTGTTTAAATAGTTATTATAAGGATAATATGGGGATTAAAAAATATTGTAACAGCGGATTTCAACTGAAGGCTAATGGAAGGGGGTGTTTGTCTCACGGTCATACTATAGGGGGGTCTTTGTTGCAAAACAAAGTACAAGGGGGTCTTTGTCACAGACCCCATAGTACAGGGGGGTCTTTGTAATTTACCCAATTTTTTAATACGGGAAAGTAAATCCTATATTTCTTAGTCTCAAATATTTTATACTATAAATTTCTTTTTTAATAATGTTAATATAATTTTCAAAATTTAAAATTAAGTTTTCAATTTAATCATTTAAACCAGTTGAGCAAACCAAAAATCAACCCAAACTAATATAACCTGATTTAGTTGGTTTTCACTAATGGTCAGTAGACTTCAGGTAATCTACTCCCCAACCTGACCATGTTGATTTGATTGGCCAAATAGATACAACCGAACTAAACTAGGTCATGATCTACACTCTTAATTTCATTTAAATTAATATTTTAATCTCTAATAAATAAAAATAGTTTAACCTCCAAAAATTATTAAAAATTTATAGCGAAAATACACAATTATTGAAAGTATATTGATAATGAAAATAAAATAAATAACTAATAAAAATAAAATAATTACAATAATTACAAAAAATACTAAAAAATATATTAAGTTAGTTAATAAATATTGTAATCTCAAATAATAGTTTAATCTCTAATAAATATAAATGAATAAAGTACAACAAAAGTACAAATAAATACAATAAGTATATGGAATTAAATTTAAAAAGTCAAATAATAGTAGTTTAATATCCAATAATTACAAAAAATTTTCTAGTAAATAAAAAAACAAATATAGATTTATAAATAATTATTGAAAATATATTTATCATAAAAACTATAAATAATTTTTATAGATACAATAAATAATTTTTAGTATATTAAATATATAATAAATATAGATTAAGATTTTATAATCATTATTAATGAATATTATTTTTTTTGAAAGTTATTTTTCTTGAATTATTAATTTACATAAGTGAAATTGGTTATTTAAAATATTATTTAGTTATTTAAATAATATTCTTATTTAAATTATATAATTTTAATTATTTATTGAATTTAATAATCTATAAAATTATAATTTATTCTATTATTACACAATTTCATTAAACACTTTGTAAAAATATTAAATTATTATTAATTTGAATATTATGTTATGATTTTATATTATTTGAAGATTTTTTTTTATTTCATTGCATAATTTCGTTATTTTAATTACTTAAAATATAGTTATGTTAAATATTTCGTTATTTAAAATATTTCGTTATTTAAATATTTAAATAATATATAGAATATTTAAAAATACTCATTATTTGAATTTAAGATATTTAGTTATTGAAATATTTAAATAATTAAATATTTTTCTATATAATTATTTAGCTATTTTTAGTATTTTATTATTTAAGATAATTATTTATTAAAATAATATCTTATTTTTTAATGTTAAATTTCTATTATTTGAATAACATTTAGTTTGAATAATCTGGAAAATCATAATTTATATTGTTAGTACATAATTTCATGATAAATTTTGTAAAAATATAAAACTATTAATAATATGAATATTATTAAATCTATTGTAATTATTTTTTGTGTTGTTAATAGATATTTTAAAGTTTATACTATTATTACATAATTTCATTATTAATTTTGTAAAAACATTAAATTATTATTAATTTAAATATTATGTTATAATTTTTTTTATTTTATTGCATAATTTCGTTATTTTAACTATTTAAAATATAGTTATGTTAAATATTTCGTTATTTAAAATATTTTATTGCATAATTTCGTTATTTTAACTATTTAAAATATAGTTATGTTAAATATTTTTTTTATTTAAATATTTAAATAATATATAAAATATTTAAAAATACTCATTATTTGAATTTAAGATATTTAGTTATTGAAATATTGAAATAATATTTTATTTTTTAATGTTAAATTTGTATTATTTGAATAGCACTTAATTTGAATAATTTGGAAAATCGTAATTTATATTGTTAGTACATAATTTCGTGATGAATTTTGTAGAAATATAAAACTATTAATAATATATATATTATTAAATCTATTATAATTATTTTTGTGTTTTTAATAAGTATTTTAAAGTTATTATATAATTTGTTAAAATATTTAAATAATTCTTAAATTTTTTAATTTAAACTTTCTTTAGATAGATATAGAGAAAAAGTGACAAAGATGATAAATAGGAATTAGAGATAATTTGGAGAGAAATTCTCTAGTAAACTGGTGATAAGTTAGGAGATAAATAGGAATTGGAGATGATTTATGAGAAAGTGGGGGAGGTAGTTTAGGATAAATTTTAGGAGAGGAGATTGTTGGGAACATGTGGATGAGAGAGAGATATTTTAGATAATTTTTTATGAGGAAGGAGAGCATCTCATTGGTTTTTTAAAAATGACATGGAAGAAAAAAATAAAAATCAAAAAAAGGAGAAAATTTCTTCACTGTCTTGTTTTAATATATATACTCTCATGAATAATAACATAAAAGTATGGGAGGTGTTCCCAATGTGTGGTTAAAACATGTTGTAAGGTCGGTCTAAAGAGCGCTATGTGGGGAGAAGATCTGGACTCAAATTTAAAAGGGCTTGAATCCTAATGGCCTAACATCCCCCCCACCCCCTATATTAACATTCTACACTAGTTAGGGTTTCGAGTTTGGGTTGGGCCATTCTAATTTTCACA